ATCAAATCTTAAACTCAATATAAAACTAGCTTTAATAAAATAATAAACAAACAAATAGATATAAAGCTAGAAATAGAGTTTAGAAAACTTCTCAATGGATCAAGAGATTGAGGGAGGATGGTTGGATGCTCAAGCACCAATAGGATCTCCTCAAGCTCTTGTGAAATTGATTTCACAAACCCAAAACTCTCAATTGCTTAAAAGCTTCTTAAACACTCTTTTAAACAAACACTAAACAAATTTAAACCCTTGTTAAACTTTTTAAAACATTCTCTTGGATTGCCATGAGAACTGAGATCAATGGGGTATTTATAGCCTCCCAAAACCTCAGTCAAAAGCCCAACAGAAATGATCAAAAAACCGACAAAATAAAAAATTAGATTCTGTACAAAAAGACCGTTGGAGTGAATGACGGTCGACCATGAAAATATCGCGGTCGACCGCGAGCCACTTTCGAGGCTCAGAAAATTCCAGAAACTTTGATGGTCGACCGTGGCGGTCGACCGTGAAAGTTGTTGTTAGCTCCGCAGGTTAAAAACAAAGGCGCGGTCGACCGTGACGGTCGACCGTAAACTGACATATGAGAAAACAGGTTTGAAAGTTGATTTTCTGATTTTAAAACCCTGTTTAAAAATATCAAATAAATTCTAAAAAATATAAAACTTTGGGGAATAATTGTAGACATGATAATAAACATGCTACAAAGATTGGGTTTCAAAAAGGACCTCCTAAATGAAAAATATCATCATTTTGCAAAATAGTCCAAAACATGAAAATGTGAATATATGAGTTTTGACATTTTAGCTTAACCATGTTTTGAAACAATACAGAATGATTTTATAGACTTGAAGAAAGATGTAAACTATTGTTATGAAGTCTATAAATAATAAATATAGTATGATTTTATAGACTTGAAGAAAGATGTAAACTATTGTTATGAAGTCTATAAATAATAAATATAGTATTTTTACAATTACACATATAATGCACTAAAACATGATTTCATTGAACTAAATAAAATTGATATTGATGAAATCATATATATGCATATGAGTATGAAAAAAAATATGTTTTCTAATTATATTCAATTGTTTCATAGTAAAACTTGAAAACTATCAAACCAAAACATATATGTATATATAAATAACTATATATATATCTATCTTGGTATACTAGCGGATGAAGCTTGAACTTGAATCTTTAACTTGAATTGCGTAGGCTTCACTCTACAATTTCTGTCAACCTCAATTTGATATGATCATTATGGCGCAATCCATCCAACCTCCAACGTATTGTTTGTCTATAATAAATAACAAAATACAACCACTAGACAAACAATATTAGATGTAAATTGTTTGTTAAATCATCATCAAAACAAGAAGACCAACATTAACCGCCAAGGTGTCTTTCCCCTTTGATTGCTTTTGAGGGTTAAAGTTGCATTTATTCCCTCCCTTTTTAGGATGAGACTTCTGAGGTTCTTCAGCCTCTATCCTCTTGAGCCTGTTCTCGACCTGCTCTCCCTGCCAAACCAAATCTTTCCACGAACGAGCTTCAACTGCGCCCATCTTTGATAGTATGTTGATAGAAAGATTGTTTCGAGACATCTCCACAAGGGTTGCTTCCAAGACTTGATCCCGTGAATGCAACGATCAATTTCTAAATATTTTGACAAAGTCACTGGCAGACTCTGTCTTTTTCTGCTTCTCCGCCAATAGTGCGGCCATAGACACCTCGGTGTCATCATCAAAGAACCTGGCCAAGAAAAGCTTTTCTACATCCCTCCAGCATTTAATAAACCCAGGCTCTAGTCTGCGAAACCATTCAAAAGCAACCCCTTTTAGGGTACTAATGAATAGTCGAGTCATTATTGGGTCATTCTCCACTATGTATCCAGTTTGCACCTAAAAATAGTAAATGTGTTGGGTAGGAGAGAGCTTGCCATCAAATTGTACCAAATTGAGCGGCTTGAATTTCGGGGGATATGGGACGGTATCCCATTCAACTGGATAAGGTCTAGCTACCCCCAGGTCTTTGAAGTTTTCTTGGAGCTTCAATGCGTCAAGTTGCTTCTGGAAATCATCTAATTTTTGGTCCCGTACTTTCGTACGATGATTGGATTCGGCTTCAGATGATTCAGAATGAATATGCAGAATCTTTTCCTCCTCATCTTCTTCATCATTGCCATCTTGATTTCGATGGCTATTTTCTTCCTCGGCGTCTTGATCCCGAGGCTTTGGACCTTCTTCTTTTTCTGTTGTTTCTCCCTGAGGAGTCTCTCTACCATTGCTTCTAAGCATCTGATAGATTCCTGTTGTTGAAGGATGGTTGATTGTTGCTCTTCCATCTTCCTTGCCATGTTTTCCTCACTTCCAATCATGTGAGCACTTGCCTGTTCACTTTGATCAGTATTGGAAGGTCGAGAGGTTGCAATAGCTGAGTTCTCAGGCTCTTCATCTGCCTCATCTGTAATGTCTGCTAATCATCGATAATCTTGCGGGATCACCACACCAGTATAAGTATGAGTGTGCCGATACACTCCCTGTCCATCAACAAGCATTTCACCTGACCCTGAAGAGTACTCAGAATCAGAAGATTCATAAGAATCAACCGAGACTTTGCTCTTGCCCTTGCTAACCATATTAATCGTTACTTCAATGTGGTGATTCTTGGGTGCTTGTTTCTTGGGACGAAAGTGCCTTCTTCTAGATGACGAGATCGTCGATGGCTCAGTCAATCGTTCGAAGACTGGAGATTTGTGTGCTGACTCCCCACATGGGCATTAGGAAAGCACTACAAAGATAAGCTTCTCACAGCAGCAACGAGATGGTCTACTGGGTATTGTGTGTTTCTTGGAGGAAATCTAATATTATGAAAGAGTAAGAAACAGAGTGTAGCCTCTCGATCTACAGCTGAGTCTGAGTATCGAGTCATGACGAATTTGACTTATGAGCTAATCTAGATTAGAGATGTACTAATAGAGATTGGTTATTCTCCGGAGTATCCCTTGAGCTTGTATGGAGACAATAAGGCCGCCATTTACATAGCTGAGAATTAGGTATTTCATGAGAAGACAAAACACATAGAGATTGATTGCCATTTGATTCGTGAGAAGATAGAGAAGAGAATCATTAGAGCCAAGCACATACCATCAGATCATCAACTTGCAGAAATTCTCATTAAACCTCTTGGAAAAATACAAATAAATTTTATTTGTAACAAACTGGGCAAGTACGATATGTATGCTCAGCTTAAAGGGGAGTGTTGAGAGAGTAGTTGTTCATTATTGATTAGTCCCACGTTGGTTAGGGGCAAGCATCTTTATTTCCTTAAACACTATAAATAACATCCTAGAAAGAGCTAATAAACTCACTAGGGTTTTCACAATTACACTAAGTGATGTTAAGTTAACATTGTTGTATTTATTTTGTTACTTACCTTAAGGGGAACCATTAAGCTGCTTGTCTTTTTTGTGTTTAATTTGTTAAAATCTTATTTGAAAATTCTCAAAAATTTGTGTGCGCTGTATGGATTACTCTGTATGACTCCTTTCTTTATTGTTGGACATTTCGAGATTTCACAGTTACAAAATTGTTTCCAACCGTGAACTACTGATGCATTTCTATTTGTGCAGTAATAATGGAAGAACTATCAAGAGTAGTGGATCCGGCAATCCGCTGTGGCAGTTGCTGATTTCACTCTCAACTGATTAGCCTTATCAGCTTTCATTGTTAATCTTTGCCTTCAGATTTCACGTAGGATCGCATAAAATCTCGTGCATCTTTGCTTGCATTGTCCCCATTTTATGTCAACGTGTGTTCACGTAAAATGCATCCAAGGAGTAATATCTCCTCATCGATGTCATGTAGTACTAATTATATGATGTACTGTTGATGCCTGAGTTCTCAACACAGTGGGATTAGAGGCTGATCTCAAATAACAACGGGGTTGAGGGTCAACAACGAATATGTTAGGGGTCCCTTCGTCCCCTCTGGTGGCCGATCCCCTGATAGGATGAGGATCCTGCAAAACCACAACACGTTAGAGGACCGGAGTTAGGTTCTCCGGTGATCCCTCTGACGATTAAGTTAGTCTTTAGCTTGAGTGGAGAAGGATATCGATGAACTGAACTATAGTTAAGTGTGCATAAATTACATTATTTAGTAAGGGATTGTTCTCTTTAGCCAGAGATGGCTTACCATGGTTAGTAGGCGATGAGCCAACATACACCATGCTGAGAGGGGTGAAGATGTAATTTTGGCCGAGGCCAAGCAAGCAGCTAAGTCGGCAGATGCATTACAGGTATCGGCTGCAGATGAGATGAGTCATCTATGAGCTTGATGTGATGGTGACTAGGGAAACGTAATGCAGATGGAAGGCGGTGAGTCATGGAGACTATCGTGGCAGCAGCAATGACGACATTGGCCAGCTGTCGGTGAGGGGGCTCAAGGTCAAGCAGCCTCTCGACTCGGCTCTGCGAGACGGCTGACAAAGGACGCCTCTCGACTCGATCTTGCGATCGGGTCAATAAGTACCGTCTTTTTAGTCAGCCCCGAACGTTGTCAACCCGGCCTTGTGGAGTGAAGAGGAGTGGGGTCGACTTGAATGGTGAGTCGAGAGGGGACGCGTTTCGACTCGCCCCGTGTTAGGAAGGGTCGAATGCTGAAGCCGCTCGAATCGTCCTTCCCAACGTATGGCTGATTAGGTATTTAAGGTGGGGCACGTGTCGGCTCCTCGTCAAGGATTAACACTTAGCTATTTGTAAGATATAACATGTACTAATACGTTCTCGCTTGAATTGAATTATCCGATTTCCCCCGCGTCACGCGGGGCCTACTTGCTAGTTGTAACATAAAAAACCCAAACCTCAGTAACTCAAATAACCACACGCCCAAACTCTCCCACCACCACCCAAATCCCACCACCTCGCAAACTATCCAAAAACCCAAGCAATCCCTCAAAAGAGATAAGCCCTCCACAAATAACCCTCCACGTTCTCACCACGCATCATCTCCACTCAAACCTCATCCCTTTCCCTCCTTTTATACCCCGCCTACCTACACTGCACTCCTTAGCCATCTCGCACTCCTCCCTCTAAAACACCGACGCTGCCGCCGCCAACAGCAACAATGGCCTCCCTCTCCGCGCCTACTACAACCCTACTAAACACCCCCTTCATCAACACCTCCCTCTCCTCCCACCGCCCCGCTGCGGTCTCCTTCAACCTCAACCTCGGCCGAGGCAAGGTCACCGCGATGGCGACCTACAAGGTCAAGCTCATAACACCCGACGGGCCGATGGAGGTGGATTGTCCGGACGACGAGTACATCCTCGATGCCTCGATGCGGCGGAGGAGGCCGGGATCGAGCTCCCGTACTCGTGCAGGGCGGGGTCGTGCTCCTCGTGCGCCGGAAAGGTGGTGGAGGGGAAGGTGGACCAGAGCGACGTGAGCTTCTTGGACGATGAGCAGATGGATGCCGGGTGGGTCTTGACTTGCTATGCCTACCCTCGAAGTGATCTCGTGATCGAGACTCACAAGGAGGAGGAGCTGGCTTGAGGATGACTGATGAATCCATATGTTGCTGTTATGCTTATCCTTTTTTTTTTTTTTTGGTTACATTGTTTGAGGTTGGATCTTGTTGATTTTGATTTGAAGATGTATGGCTACAAAGTTAATTAAGGCTGATCTTATGTGTTATGGCTTCTTATGTTATTATCGGTAGAGCAGTGAAATTAATCACTCTGAGTTCCGCTATTGAACTCTATTCTCAGCATTCACTCCAGATGAATCATAACTAACAACTAAAAAAATTTATATCATATGGTTGTAGTCGATGAATCTGCATCTTCCACGCTTATAAACTGTTCTGGTTGATATTATCAGAAGGGTAAAATTTGTAATGACAAATAGCATTAGTACACCAGATCTGCCTGAAGGGAGCAAGCGGGAGGTCGATGCGAATAATTACACAGTCAGAGACTAGCAGATGACCGAGATGGGCTCCTCAATCTCAAATCTATGATGGACCATGTTGTATCTCACAACACCCTTGTCTGCAAAATGTTTATCAAAATACTTGCACGACATGCAACATATACAGCCTATATCTTAAACGACGTAAAGGTCTTTAAAAAACCGAAAAACAAAGGTTCCTAGATTTAGCCCACCAGAAAAGTATGGAATAACAGAGACTGTGTTGCTCATGCGCGACCATAATGAGAAATATAGACTGGATAAGATATTATTGGGTCCTCAGTACAGTCAACAATCCATTTCATAGAGGGACAAGAACTGCAAAACTCGTCAATTTGATCCAAAAAAAAAAAGAGAAGAAGAAAAAAAGCTAAAACAATGGAGCTCAATGTGATTTTCTACAATAAGTAGACACACTACAAGTATAGCAAACATCTGTACTAAAATAATGTAATAAGAAGGCTTGTTTACCTAGCCTACAAAAAATTGGAAAGCTATGGCACCTGAAGTGCAAAGGTAAATACCCTCGATCCAATTTCAATAGGCTTCATATATACTGTCAAAAGGCTGATCTCTCTATCCCCAGCGCCATTCCTTTCTGCAAGATGCACTTTTCTTAGTCACATTTGATATTCCTGTAAATCCTTCTTACGAACAAGGTGGCCCCGAGATAACCAATAGCACCTGCAGGATTTTTAAGTAATAATTATTGTTCAATAACTATAACTCTTATGCTAAAATATGTCACAATAGAGAAGAATACTCACCACAAAACATTCCTAAACCTAGACAGAACATCAGAGTGTAGCCAAAATAGAAGCTAGTCTGGAAGAAACCAGACATCTTGGTCTTGACAAAGTAATAATAGATAGAGTAGAGGTAAACATAGATGGAAGTTGATGCAGCACAGAAGAAAGAGGTCCACTGCCAATGGTAGTTCTCGGCATTAAGTAAGAAATATGTGCCAACAATCGTGACACATATGGTGACAATTATGAGGATCACGAAAACCAATAGCATGAAACCGTAGACGTAGTACACCTGCAAAGCATGGCCACGTGTCAAATTTAGGTAATCACACGAGGATTTCATAGCAAGAAAGCATCAATCAAATATAAGAAGTGAAATTTCAAAGAGTAAAAGGGGGTTAATTGCAGATAGACCCTTGTACTACCGCCCAATTGCAGATGGACTTCGTGTAGTTCTATTGTTACAGATACTCTCTTGAGTGAAATTTTCTCGACTCTTTTACCCCCATAGAGAAAATTCAAAGCTGTTTTTGACAAACAGACCTTATGAGGTAACAGTCAAAAAAAATCACACAGGGGGTCTGTCTGCAATTCCGCAATAGCACAAGGGGTCGATCCTAACCCATAGTAAAGTGAGGCCAGTGTGTCCCTCCACTCTATTAGTTGGGGTGCAGTGGACATGGCACACTTCCAAACCATCACAATCAGATTATCAACATATCTTGACCTAACTGATAGTTTGGATGCGTGCTATATCAGCTTACCAGCCAATAGCGCGAAAGGCAAACTAGACCACATTTACTCAAATCAAATCCTAAAGAGCTTCATGAAATATACTTCCACTGGGGAATAGCAAGAGAGAGAATTAAGATAAGGTTGAAAAATTCCAAAACAGAGATATTGGCTCTTGTATGATTACCTTGTAATTCCAAAATGAAGTGAAGACAAAGTACATCTCGATGAATATGCTGCCAAAAGGAAGCAAGCCTCCCATAAGTGAGACCACAGAGGGTGTTAGATACCATTTCTTCTCTGGGATAGGACGAGGAATAGTCTTCACACGGCATGGGTTATTTGGAGCACCACTCCAATTCCTGCCCACAACGGTGCCTAGAAGTGCGAGCGGAAAAGAGATGAAAGCCCAAAGTATGAACACTACCACCATTGTCCCAAAAGGAATAGCTGCGAGCGACCCATAGAAGATAGCAACTGTGTTGAGTATGAAACCAATTGCAAAGCATAGAAATGGGAACAGAGATGCTGAGAGGATCATCGACTTTATCCAGCTTTTGCCTGTTAGAAAGTTATGTATCTTTAGCGAGGATAAACATCTTGCAGTAGCAATTTGAACATAATAACTAAATATTGCAATTAATAATAGGATGAGAAGCAACTAGTGAAGATGTATACCGCCATGCCGCGAGTAAAGACCACCACTTACATAGCCTGAAACGAATGAAGTAAGAGCATAGCACACTATGAAAGTTGTTATAATAGCTCCTCGCCTGGCCATAAAAAGTACATGGGTCAGGGTCAATAGAGAACCATAAATAATGGGACACATGGGTAAATATCTCTTGCAGAAATTTTTATCTGCCATGTGGTAAAGCAAATTGACAGTTACAAAATAATGTGTGCATTGTATTATCTGGTATGTAGGGATGGTACATCTACAAGCTGGTTAACCTTAAGTGCTCTGTGTTGCATCTTGAAAATGAAAAAACTTGAGAATAAAATAGACAGTTCAAGGTCAAAGCTAAAAGAGTTGAACCAATCTTTAGGCCACAAAACAGTTCCATCACACATTCTTTCTCTGGCAAGAGATTCAGGGGCAAGTTAAAGAAGTTTAACCTATCTTTAACCACCAAAGAGTTTCTTTCATCAAGAAGTTCTCTGGGGCAAGAGATTCAGTGGCAAGTTAAAAGGGAGGCAAGAGACTCAGTGGCAAGCTAAACGGAGGCTCCCTCCCAATAGATATACGATAACTCATGACAAGTTAAAGGATGTCAACCACAAACTCGGCATAATAAAGAGCTACAATCTGCCTCCTCTCACAAAGAAGAGTTACCAGACTTTTCAAGCAGAAAATAAGGGAGATAAACTGTGCCTCGCAGATAAAATTACTTTATCTTCATATTTAGTTACTGTTTACAGACACATGCAAAAGTGTTCGCTGCTATAAAAAATCATAGTGGAATTACTACCAGTGTCACAGTCTTCAAGATATTACTAATGCAACAAATGCAGGGAAGAAAAGGGTGAGGATAAGAAGGAAGCATACCCGATGTATAACGTCCCAAATATTGCCAAAAGGATCACTATGAGAGTAAGCAGTGCCAGCTGAGCACCAGTACCAACAACAGAACAAAGAAGAACCAAGTTGCGAGGTGGTCGGAAGACATCACCATGGACAAGTTTCCATCCAGATTCTTCACTCACATCTCTTTCCTGGTAAATTACAAGCACTTACCACTAAGCATATTGTATAACAATATAAAAAAGAATTATAGTTTTTTTGTCATAAAAAGAAAGTAATCACCAGAGACTCCAGATCGTCATCTTCACGAGCATATTTTGCATAATCATTTCGAAGAGTTCGCATCAATATCATGGATACCAAGCCAGTCAGGAAAATAACCATCATAAAAGAATTGAAAACGGAAAACCAATGAATCTGTACAAACAAAAGAATTTAAGAAAGGAGAACACTCAACCACCGTTATTACTTCACACATGTAAAAAACTACAAATATGAGAGTAAAGAGGTAGGCAGGGTATGAAAGTACCTGGTGTTCGAAAAAAGGGTAGTCTAAGTAAACATCAAAACGATGTGCAAATGTAACATTTGTTGCTGACCATTTGACTGAATATGTCATTTCTATTGGTTTCCCAGTTTCCAGGAGCTTTGGAGATTCTTGAGTAAGATTGACGTGAATAATCTGCTTACAAAAGAAAATTTAAGACCTAATAATGACAGGTGTAGATTATTGCTGATGACATTAAGTTGCAGAATATTTATACCTGATTACCATTATACTGTACGAGAATTTTCTTGTGTGTGAAAAGATAATGTTTGTTTTCATCATTTTTATCCTTTTCTCCCACATAACCTGGTAAAAGCACACATGCAATAGCCAATTATGAGTAGCATAAAACTCAATAGAAGTTATAAAGAAGAAAGAAAAAAGCAAGAAAGAGAGAAGGAAAGAGAAGATCACAAACAAATACATACCCCATAAGGGCAAATCATCTGCAAGGTCACAAAAAGAAGAGAGAACAAAGAGTAAGCATTAGATTCATGGAAATGATAAATGATACAAATTAAGTCTACAAGAACGAAAAAACATAAGCAGATGGTATCACGTAAACGGAAAAAAAGCAGCAAACGTACACATACCCATGAAGAGTTCAAACCAATATGAGTTATCTATTGCATCTGTAAACTGCTTCACCTTTGCATTATCAAGTTCAAGGGTACAAATGGTGCCCTTGTCAACATCTCCTGATATATTCCAATAAATACAAAAACAATTTATTTACATGGTAGCACGCAATCAATCACGTGTTAAAAAACAAAATACCAAAAGACAATGCATACTTTGAAATTTTATGTCGATCTGGCTGTCAATAAGCTCATTACCACCCAAAACCTCCCCAAGTCCACCCCACTTATGTGTGGGATGCTCAGATGGTTTGCAGAATGGAAGATTATAATAATTGTACATTTCTTGAGGATTGTGATAAGGGCCAACTTTATTTACCCAGAGAGTTATAGGATCACCAACTTGATACTGCATACAGAATTCATTACTGCTGTTAGATTAAACCAGATAATTTTTTTCATAAAGATATCTTCAGATGCAGACTGTAAGAAAAAATTCAATTCTTCCGAGCGTACAGTACTTTCAGCTTTCTTATTAAACAGATAAGACAAAATTAAAAAGTAAAAAAAACGAAGGTCAAAAGCATACAAGGAATTGAAGAAAGAAGAAACGAAACCTATGAAACTAACATTGCAAACACAAGAAAATAAGGCGACAATTAACTTGAGAAAAAAACACAAAGAACCTTGTGTAGACAGGGATGAAGCAGAATTCAAATTAATTTCAAAGAGAACCATGTGAAGTGAACAATAAATTTATGAGAAAAAGGCAAGTGTGTAGCAGCATGAGACCACAACGTACCAAAGTTGTACTGTATATTTGGCGACAGACACCAGAACAGAGGATAGGAAGGATGGAAGTGGGAAGAAAGGAAAAGAGAAAAAAGAAACATACCTCTGCGGTTGAATTTGGAGCAGGATTAAGGTTTAACTTGGGTCAGATCAGATCCAAGCCAAAACCTATAAGACCTACTGACCTAATTTATATCCAAGTAAACCTTAAACTTCCTCACCTAACCAGTAAAGAAAGCAACAACACTATATCCGTAGCACTAGCAGCTGCAACTTTGGGCTACAGCAGTGTTGGAATCTTTGGAACAACCAAAAAGCTTAATGCAAAAATATATTTAAGACTTGGAATCATGTTAGATGATTAAAAATCTTATTCAAAATAGCTAAAATGATCATGTTTGATTCATTTAGTACGCAAAAATCTTAAAAGTATATTTAGTTTTGCTTAAATGACATTAATATAAAATACTTAGATGAATTACTACAGAACTATTTGAAAAGTACTCAGTCAACTTTGAGAGCCTAGCTATTAGGCAAAACCCTGTAGGAAAATCAGGGACTAATCCAGAAATTTTTTTTCTAATGGTGGCACAGATACAACATATAGATACACTTATGTCATATAAATTCTACCAATAAGAGAACTTACTTATCCAATAATCGGAATATAGATATACAGTTCTGGATTTGAGCAGTTTTTTGTTCGAAATCCGACCCAATAAGTTTGAGGATACCTAATAAATTTTAGTTAAGTTGGGGCACCTAATAAAATTTTGTGAATGCACCTGCTAAATTCCTAGTGAACTTCTAAAAGTTTGTAAAACCGTATAAGGGCATGTGCCCCCAAACAATCGCACGTAAATCTGTCCTTGATGAAAATAATAAAAGGATAGCAGTAGAAGAACTTTTTTCCCTTTCAATAAGGAAACAACAATACGCCAAAAAATAAGATATGGGCAGCATAGAAGAAGAGGTTTGTATAACTTTTTAGATAGATCCATTCTTTCCTAAAATGGGCAGTGGGATAGTTTTCCTTCAACCAGCAAGAAGTGAAAATAAAAGGTAATTGGGATAGGTAGACTAGGACAAACTCATAAGATGTCATATTCACGTTTTCAACTCAATGACCTCGTACGCTTATGAAAGTCCCATGCATGATGAGTCTGCTTCAAAATTTATCAAACATGCTTGACCTAGAAAGGAATTCTTATTCTTACCTCTCTGTAAAAATCATATAACTTGTGGATATCGATATGTTAGTTGCTAGATAAAGCAAGTACATATAAGAAAGATATTGAATACAAAATCCAACACATGCACTTGTTTATCACAATCTGGCTGTGAATAAAGCTATAATGTACGATGTAAAAATGTGAATATTTATTTAAAAGGGCCAGCCAAGTTTCAGATGTGAAAATCTCCATTTTACTTCAATATTATCACCTTCAAGGTTACATATTACGATATAGACCAGTTGGTCTTGGTTCAGATATAAAATTTCCACTATCAGCAGCATCAAGGTCAGGTAAAGATCCTTGGAAAGACTGAAAAGAGAAAATAAGAAAGGTGACAGAGCCAAAATGCAAACACTTGTTGACCTAAAGAAACAACAACAAAGCTTTTATGTCAAATCTTTCACACTGGTTACACGAAAATCTGCCTTTGTTTAGCATTAAAAACACAAAATCTTGAAGTACTCCGAATGTGGGAATGAATAAGTTGAGTGCTAATTTAACGGCATCATGTGCATCTGGAAAATGAAATTATATAAACTTTACGAGAGATCTATGATAAGCCTGAAAAAAGCTAAACTAGTGGAAGCCTGAAAAAAGTTAAACTAGTGGCTTCAAGACCTTTTCTTTAAGCCTTTCTTTTTCTTCATTGATCCCTACTCACTGTGCACCTTTAGGCTTAAATATGAGGTAAGAATATTTGGCAGAATTCCAGAATATGGATATTATTAGACAAAATCTATCACCAAAATTAACTATTTTCCCCATATTAAGTAGAACTTGTCATAGGAAATGAAAGCTGAGCCATAGCTAAAGAGATCTAATTATGGTGTTGGATTGGACAATGAAGTTAAAATATGGATGGCCTGCCGCCTAAACAAGCAATTTTTTTCTCACTTAACCCCCTAGTTAACCACTATGCTTTTTAGAAACTTATTCTGAGATGTCACTTGTGGCTCAATGGTTTCAACTTATATAACTTGCCTACACGGAGTTAATACACATCTTTTACTAGAAAAGTATCCTCATTGATAATTATCAAGAAGCTTATCTCACCATATAAAAGTACTATTAGTTCACTAGAATGCTCGCAAGACCTGAACAAGTAATTGCATACATATGCTTCTAAGTTCTAACATATATTCATATATCTCATATGATGTGTTAGTAATTCATGGATTCTTTGAAGCACATGTTCTTACTACCAATTGAACTGAAAGCTCAAAAAGTGTCTCAGCAACATCCTAGAATTTCTCCTTATTCTGGAGAACACTGCGAGATTTCCATAGATTAAGGGCTGCTCATACAGTGCAATTTTAAGTGCAACATATGTAGAATGCCGGAAATGTTGCATACAACATTTTGCTGAAGGAGATTAACCTCAATTCATCATTTGGATATCCACATATTCATTGCGGTAAATATATTTCCAAAATCTCAATCTAACATTTCATAATTACAAAATCTGTTACATTTACATTTTTGCTGTAGGAAATTAGTTTCCATTGCAATAAAAGTAATTGTTTCTCAACGTATAGAAAAAGATTGACATTTTTTGAATTAGAATCCACTAATTTGATAGTGTGGCGTTAGTTTTATTATTTTCAGCTAATGCAAGAACTCGTAGCATTTAGTGAGACCAAATTGGCTGTATCAAATGCTGCAATATTTTTCAACGGAACAGAAATCCAATTACCATCTATCTTCTATCAAACCTATCGGAAATACAAATTTGGTTTCAGCATTAGTTGTTGTCTGTCTATTTCCTATCAACTGTTCAGATGTTCACATTTAGTGGCACCACAGCAAGTTTTTGTAACTGGACATAAAATAATGCTCTATTTAGCAAACAAATGAATACAGGACAAAGTGTTTTGCGAATATTAAGCTAAACTAATGGTTTTTCTTGAAATCCCCAATAGAAACTAAGAAAACAGATCTAAACACAGCTGAAAAGACGAAAAATTCCAATTTTTGAATAAAAAAACGTAAAGCGATCTAGTGAAGAACATCGGTATCCCTAAATATCAGATCTGTGAAAAGAAACGCAAACAACCACTGGCGCAACGAAGGATCTTAAACTCTCTGCAAGATTTCGAGGGATGAAACTATAGATTCAGATATCTCGGGTTAGGGATCGAAACTTATAGGCGAATCAGAGGGTTACCTTGTGATTGGACTCCGAGGCGGAGGCCGATGCAGCGACGAGGAGGACGACGACGAAGAATCGAGAAAAACAATGCATCGTTGATTGAATTGCGGGAAAACGCCCTAGCTCGAATTTTCGCCTCTTTTTATTATTATTTTTTAATTTTTTATTTTTTGGCCACGATCGAGAGAAAGTGCGAAAGAGAGAGGAGGAGAAAGAAGAAAAGTTCTCGGACTCTCTCCTATTTATATTTTACAATTATATACGATAAAAATGTAAAAGAAAAAAAAGGTAAGGTTTTTTTTTCGTATTGGTCCCTTACACCTCTAATGATTTGCTAATAGTCAATCGAATCATTGAAATTGCTAATAGGTCCCTCCAGTCATAAATATCATTGTACTCTGGGCCCTCTATTAGTTTTTCAATTAAATTTGTAAATAGTTGGGCACTTGGTAAATAGTTGTTAACCCCACGAGGTCAATCCCTTTCATCAGTTTTAATTATTTGAGGGGCTAATACAAAATTATGGAAGATCACAAGACCGGTATATAAAACAAAACTAAGAGGGGGTACGGGCGGGATGCGATCGCGAAGTAGTTATCTCCAAAAAACGAACTAGATGATACTTGACAAAATCTAGAAAGTACTAACAGAATATAGTTACACCTTATCCTCATTGAAAATACGAAATATTTGATTATTTAGTATAGATATGGAAATACTGAATATGAATTGGCAGAATTGCTATCTCGTTTAAGAAAAACCTATTAAAAAAATGATACTAATGTACTTCATGTGTTGTGACGTGATTAGTGTGATAAACTTCACCCATAGTTCGTCTATTGATAGCTCATAAGAGCTTTGCTACAGGAACCCAACATATGGAACCAACATGGAGGACAGATGAGGTATCGCCCTCCTATTGCATAATGAACTGATCAGCTCATTATGCAATAGGAAGAGGACACCTCATCTCTCATTTCATATTTTGGAAAATTTTTCATTGCATAAAGACCCACATGTTTCAAACTAATTAGCCCTCAAATTTTACATTTGCAAGTAGACCCCTTTGTGAGTTTTCCCCACTCTTTTTAACTCTCATGGGTGATTTTGTTAAAAATAGTAATTTTTTCTTTTTCTCTGAGAGTGAAAAAAATTAACTCCAGAAATCTATCTACAAATATAACACTAGCGGAGCAGTAAATACAAACGACAAAACTACAGGGGGTATGTCCGCAATTAATCACAAAAAATAACTAGAAGCGCAACAACATTTGGGAGCTGAAAACTGACAACTGAAAGTTTTACACCGCAAATACAAGTTGCAAGGCCTCAAATGCCTCCTTGGGTTTGTTAGGAGCCAAGGAATCTCGGTGCGGTCTCAGGCCTCCTCCGCGTTGTTGATTCAGCATTAATACGAACCCTCACAAGCTCATCATTCCTCACATAAAAACTTTCCAAAATGAAAATAGTAAATACCAACCAGTCCATATTGATTCTACATGATTATATACACACATCTGGAAGCGGTGTGAAGTTTACAAAAGGCAATCGGCTGAAAAAGACAGTGACATTTACAAAACACTTAAAAGAACCATCTTAAAAACTTGGCTTACAGAAATACTGTCTCCTTCAATAAGATGCCGGGCCAAGTAACAACTGGCTGTAGAAGTAGCAAGGATCAACACCTCATCGCGCTAAGATAATACTTCCTCTGATCTATGAAAGCTGAGCATGCATCTAGGACATCTCCACTTTCTGCTGAGTATGGAAACATGATCCGATGAATGGGAAAGTCAATGGCCTCCATGTCGATAAAGAAGTAAAGACCGGTATATAGCAGCCAGATGAAGGAAAACAATTAACAGTATGAGGAAATCATCCAGTAAACCCACCAGCCCAAGAACTCCTGTAAACAAAATAAAAATGAGAACATTTTCAGTTCGCACTAACATAAACCAGGTGTTAATTTTAGGGGTAAATTTCATTTAACCCCCTGAACTTTGAGAGGTTTTGCACAATAACCCTCTTAAA